CACTATGAAATCTGAATTTGTAGCATGCTTTGAGGCCACAATACAGTTGAATTGGCCATGAAAATTTTGCAGCAATCTTCTTCTCAAAGAACTACTTTGCAACTAAAGAAGAGGTTAAAAAAATGTGTCAATCGAGTATATTAGCACCAATCTTATAATTGTAGATCTACTAACAAAATGATTATACCAAAGACATTTTCTGAACATGTCGTGAGAATGGGAATTATTGGAAATGACCATTAACATTATGGAATTTACGTAATTGACACTTTAAGCTTGTTTATGTATTTTTTTGGACAAAAAATATTATTTATGTCATAATAGTTGGTGTATGTACATGAATTGATTATATGAATGCTGATAGCAATAGTCTTTTCAAAGATATTATTGTAATATAATTATCGAACTTCTTATCGCATGTCACGTTAAATGGGGACTAATATTGTAGTACATGAAAAGAATTATGTCGAAATGATAGTGTAAAACCGCCATGACTCATATTAGTCTTTACTTAAGGATGATATATTAAGTGATCAATGTATGAAGGGTTTTAGCTTTTCATAAGATCATTATGTTATAGATCACATAATGATGTAATATTACTAGGGCCAAGTGGTAGAATGTTAGACCAATTAATGTGGCCCAAGTAATATTATAAATAAATTAATTAAAATGGTTTATTATTGTTAAAATTCTATTGGCCCATTGAGAAATGATAGTTTTATAACTGTTCACTTTGATAGGAAGTTGATGATTTTTTGTGACTCATGAAACTATCTCTCTATCTATAAACGTGAATGGAAATCATCAAATTAAAAATTCAGTTACAGTGAGGTAAAAAAAGAGAGAACGGTTTCTTGATTTCTCTTTATTTTATAGGTTTGAATCTTTCAATTAAAATCTCACAGATTAAAGTATGTTTCTTGATTAATTAAATTCATATATGAAAACTATGAATTCTAAAAATCTAGGTGTTATTGATTATCGCTTACAATATTCGGATGCAAAATGGAAACAAAACGTCTTGAACTACACTAATTCCCGAGGGAAAAACGTCACTTTCAAATTCCAGGTCAAATTGAAGAAGAAGAATTGGTGGAAATCGATGCACCAGCATTAATAATGAAGACAATGTGCTACTTCAACCATATGACCTAAATTAAAGTAAAATTAGTATATCATTAGTCATAGTGCACTTGATGCTCTATCTATTACTATAGTATTTGTTAATGATTCGTCCACTTGCACGATAAAATCAACTTTCTACAATAGATAGAGATATAATTAAATTCATAAATAAGTAAAGAATTGATTGACCTCGTAAGAGACTAGTTATAATTGAATAATTGATTTTCTAAGATAAGAATTGACAAAGAATAGATAATTGATAATTCATTCATATATCACAACAATAGATTTGTAGGCCTGGTCGTTAACGCGATTGAATTATCTTCAAGTGCTAAACTTAATTAGTTCGTTTAGTTAGTAATTTAGAAAATCTATATTTAAAATCATAAACTTAATTGTGTATTCGATATATTAAACATGATTAAGACAGAAAATGAATTATAATTTATTTATATTTTTTTGATATTTTTGGTCGTCCTTAAAAGTTTTATCAAGTTTAATTTTTCTAAATGAAAAAGTAATACTAAAATATTGCTTAGCAAAATAATTAAGTTACTAAAGTACTTACTTTTAAGAACAACTAAACTACTCATATACTGAAATTTATACGATATTATTTAGTCCTATATACCAAACGTGATTGTAATTAAAAATATTTCAAACTGCACTTTCTATTTCTCATAGATATAAAAAGCATAAATTGAGTTTCACATAATTTCTTTCTTCATATGATATTTGTCGGAGCTCCTAATGGAAGCCACTTGTAACACGGAGCTCCTAATGGAAGCCATATGAAACTACGTGGAGGCATCTGATAGCGAACAAAGACGCAACTGGTCAACGGCATAAAAGGAGTTAATGGTTGAAGCACTATCTTACTGTTCTGAAACTCTTTTTTGCCAAACCATTATCTCATTGTTCCGAAGCCCTCTTTTAAGCTGAAGAACCTGCAGTCTTTCAAGGGTCTGCAGAGTATCTCTATCAATGTAACGTTTATATTATTGAATGTCAGAATTGTTAGTCTAGGGTGAAGGGTGATTGACTCGTTGTCATTATATTAATGTATGGATAGAGAGTGATGTGAGGCTTCGGTTAATGAGAAGAGGTCACATGTACTGATCCAATTGTTACCACGTCGACCAACACTCTATAATTTGCAACTATTGTAACATTTTGAGGGGATGACAAATATACAAGCTTAAAGCTGCATTCAATTCCTCATGCACCCGATATAGAATTGTATTCATTTTGATCGAGTTATCCATTATTGTCAGTTTATATACAACCATATTTGATAATATTGTCGGGGCTCGAACGTTTTCGTCTCGTGTCGTAAAGTATCTCCCACCTATATAACTACCGCATATCTCCAATCGAATCTCCGATCAAAACGTGTCGAAATTTGCTTATGTGGACGTGAGAGGGCTTGATTGTCTGTTATCCACGTTGCCATTACGAAAAACGGTGTCAACAATATTGCTCAAGAATCATTTCATCCAGTCATTTTCATACACTAGTAGTCTTAATTTTACCTTTCTTTTCTTTCTCTTCCAATTATTATATAGATCCCACCCTGTCCAGCACCATTGGTTTTTCTCCACCAAACTTACTTTCTCATAAAATGGTTGATACTGCAAATATTCAAGAAAATGCAGCAGAAGAATCAGATGAAGCACTCTCGCTTTGTGATTTTCCTATAAACACAGATGAAAATGATCAGATCATCAAAGACTTATGCAAGAATCGTGATATACAAACATCATCGTCCAATATATTTGAATTTTTCAGCGATATAAGTTCTGAAATGTCCCATGCAGAAGAAATTATTTTCTGTGGTGAACTTTTGCCCTTCAAACTCCAACCTGTTCCTGTTCTTGATGATGTTCAGGAGCATCTCCTTCAAGATGATCAGAAATCAGAAGAGATTCATCCACGACAATTTCAATCATGGGATGAGTTAAAGATCATGAGATCAAAAGGTACAAACACGGGGCTATTGCGAAGCAGCAGATCTTTAGGGTTTAGGCCCTTTAGGGCTTTGAAGCCAAGGTGGTATGTTTTCATGTTTGGGATTGTTAAATTTCCACCGGAGATGGATCTTCAAGATATAAAGAACCGGCAGTTTCGTTGCAATACCCGTAGTATTTTTCCTTGGATTGATGCCGAAGGGAAGGCTCCGGTAAGCCGGAGTGATCGGAAAAATACTTGTGGT